GCCATCGCTATTGGGTTGGAGGCCATCGCTATTAGGTTGGAGCCCATCACTATTGGGTTGGAGGCCATTGCTATTAGGTTCGAGGCCATTGCTCTTAGGTTGGAGGCCATCCCTATTAGGTCGGAGGCCATCGCTATTAGGTCGGAGGCCATCGCTATTAGGTTGGAGTTGGAGGCCATTCCTATTGGGTTGGAGGTCAGCAGTGTCATTTGTTTTGTAATGTCAAAGAATTTTTTCAGAGGCCAAGCCTTCATGAAGCACAAAGCTGCCATGGAGAGTCTTTGGAAGCTCATGGAGGCCCGAATAAAGAAAGTAAATAAGTACAAAAGGGAAAGATCAAGGGGAAAGTGAACAGAGGAGAAACGAAAGAAGAGAAGAAATATGACAGATGACCAGAAAAATAGGCAAAACATAACATGTGCTTCAACTTGAGAAAGTGTTTTGGGTGGCCCACACGCCAAACGCTGTGCAACACCGGGTCTCACCGTACCCAATGTCGTAAGTCGTGGTGTATATATGTGTCCTTTTTTTCTTTTCTGTGTTTTTTATTCTTTCTCACTAGGCAAGCACACTATTAGGGGCTCCTAGCCGTACTACTAGTAACAAGAAGCTACTAGGAACAATTCAAATTAAGCACTAAGAGGAGGCAGAGGCCGTGCCACAGGCTAAAAGAAAGGAATTTCTTCAAGGAAACTCCCCGCACCCTCCTGACTTAGCTGCCACGGCCTACCGTAGAAGAACGGCTTAAACAAACCAGCAAAAGTATAATGTTTTTATTGTTGTCCCATCATTTTTCGTCTCATTTTTGTTTAATAGCCCGCTCCCCCTCCTCCCTACTTAATTAAGTCGAGACTGCCTACCCAATTAAGCAAGGGAGAGTAAGCTTCTAGCTACTCAAGCTCCTACATATGGAAGCAGGATACCTCACGATTCTTCAAGGAAGCTCCCGGTTCCTAGATTTTTAGGAAAACGTTCCAACCTAATAGCGATGGCCTCCAACCTGCTAGCGATGGCCTCCTATTTATGATGGCCTCCAAACCAACAAAAGTACTACTCTGTTGTTGGTTTTGTGATTTGTGCGTTCCTTTTTCTGCTCGTTCGAAGTCGCAGGAGATCAAAAGTGCCCTGAGTTTGGCCTTGGACACAGCCATCGAGTGTGAGGCCCTTGAACAGCACGAGCAGAGGCCAGGTGGAGCATGCCCCAAGAAAGAATAGGAGGAGAAAGAAAGGGAGAGAACATAAACACATTACCAAAGAATGAACAAGACGACATATCACTGAATGGGTTTAAAAACAACATGTGTTTAATGTGTGTCTTAATATTTCTTCGAAGAATGCACACCATATTCGTTCGGCTCACGTGGAATGGACTCAAATCCCCAGGTTGACCGAGAGTGTTGCCGAAGCCATGAAAGAGTTGGAGGATGTCACCAAGGCGCTGAAATGATGTGGAAAGAGTTGGTGTTCTTATTTGCTTTCTCAGCAATGACCTCCAACCTAGTAGCGATGTGTTCTTGTTTGCGTCCTTTGTTATTTTTTATGTGTGTTGATGTTGTGTGCTTTCTGAATCAGCCTTCAGACTTGTCCTCTTTCCTTTCTTTCCTGTGCGGATGGATGCAGATGTTTCTGGAGGCTGTTTCTGTGGGGATTGTAGCTGGGGATTGAGCAAAACAACAAGCTGAAGCAAACCGATCTTCCGATAGTAAAAAAGAAGGAACATGAATGAACAACTAAATATAATATATGTATATAACCATATATATATATACACATGTAAATACATATATAACGTAAATGAGCTTCTCTTGGGGGAGAGGTTACTTGAGGTCGGCTTGGTATTTGAGCTCCCTCAGCTCATTGGACCTTGACGTGCCCTGGGTGCACATTTCTGTTCCATTGAAACTCTTCAAATGTAAACAAAGGAAGGAAGGCAGGCAGGCAAGGAGGCAGGCAGGAAGGAAGAAAGGAAGGAATGATAAAGACATGATAAAGAAAAAACAGAACACAAACTCGTGATGTTTGAAATGTTGTTTTCTCTAAGCTTGTTACTCCGGTGTTTCTCAAACAAAAGGCTGATCGCAGTGGCCTTGGCCGCCATTTGATTTGGAAATGTGCTCCCCGCAAAAATACCTGGTTGTGGGCTTGCCCTATCTCAAGAATCATGGACTTGAGGAGTTTCCTCCAATTGCTTTAAGCCCTGTGGCAAGCCAATGGATCATTTTTGTTACTTTATTCCCCAAACAGGTTTACCTGTGAGGGGTTCTTACTCCTTTTAAAGGGGTGCATGCTCGGGCCGGATGATTTTGAGTTTGTCTCCGGGCTTGTGTTCCTGGCCGCATGATTTCACCCTTGTCTCCCACTTGTTCCCCAAACAGTATACTGTTAGGGGTTCTCAATGCTTTAAAGAATGGTCGCCTTGGTGCTGGATGGTCTGGTCGGGTTCCCGGCCGGCTTGTCTCCCACTTCCTTCATTTGTCTCCCAGTGCTTTTCATTTGTCTCCCAGGCTTCCTTTCATTTGTCTCCCACTTCTTTTCACTTGTCTCCCAGTTCTTTTCATTTGTCTCCCAGGCTGGGTGCTTGTGGTCGGGTTCCCGGCTGGCTTGTCTCCCACTTCCTTTCATTTGTCTCCCACTTCTTTTCATTTGTCTCCCAGTTCTTTTCATTTGTCTCCCAGGCTGAATGGTTGTGGTGGGGTTTTCGGCTGGCTTGTCTCCCACTTCCTTGCATTTGTCTCCCACTTCTTTTCATTTGTCTCCCGCTTCTTTTCACTTGTTTGTCTCCCAGGCTGGGTGCTTGTGGTGGGGTTTTCGGCTGGCTTG